CACTTTCTAACTCTCCTAATTGACAGTACCTGCTACAGTAAAATCCTGGAAATATTGCCAATTTTCCAGTTCTACTGGAAGCTGCAAGTTAACTAGATCTGTTTACAACACGGTTTCTTTCTATGGAGACTAGGATGTTAAAAGATTTAGAGAATCACAAGTTCTTTTCCTAGATGAAGTTACATCCCAAACACATACAGTAAAAGTGGCAGGAAGATATGAAGTAGGCATGGGCAAATGTACTCCATAAAACTCTGGGACAAATTCATCTTGAAATCTCATTTTGGCTATTTCCATCACGATGCAACTGCTTTTCCATGGGATGTAGATACTGAATTTATCTTGATACTCTAAAAATATATCCCTAAATGTAATGCAAAGTGTAGATTAATTAATTAAATTTTAAGTATTTTAACTGTAATTTCTCCTATCTGGAAAAGGGACAAGAGCCATAGTACCCTTTAATGTTGGAAGGAGATGTGGGGGAAGGCACAATAATATATTTTAGAGGCAGTGGAAGTCAATTATTTCACTAGAAATAGGTCAGGAGCCTGGACAGGTGTATTTTCGTTTCTTAATCTCTTAGCACCCTAAGATCCTCTGCAGCAGGCAAAATGACTTGCTCCTGGATATACCACTCAAGGACAGTTCTTTATTTATCCACTTTATCTTCTTTTACTGATAAAAATTTGAAGCATGGCTGACCTTTTCTATGCCCCTGCTTTGCCCTGTGAAATCTCTGCATTCAATCCTTGTCGTTCATTTTCCATTCCTGATCTGCCCCACATTAGAACTGCAGTTCAGTGCAAGATAATCTCCCGCGCTGGATTAGAGAACGTCCCAAGCAAAAGCTTTGACAAAGGGGAAACAAAATTTCTGCCACTATCGACACAGGAAAATAAATGTGCCACAAGAATTGGATGTTTACAAAAGTACCAGTAAGTAAAAATGACATCCAGATCTAAGGGTTGGCTCCAAACTACCTAATATTTATTTATTAAAATGACAGCTACTACAGTGCTGCCCATCACAAAATGTGGAAAAATAGTCTGTTCTCTAATTATGGATGTAGTCTTTCCTCACTCTGTGTATCAATAGCAAAAAAAATTGCATTTAGTATTTTGAAAATTTCTGCAAGGCAAAGGCAGGCCTGTAAATCAACTGTAACAACAAACCCCTTGCAGAGAATGTGTGGGAGACTGAAATAGTTAATGGCTTAAATACTGTTAAAATCACTGAAGTACTTTTGTCCACCGTAGCAAATTGTGCAAAAAAGCAACTGCTCACCGAAGCCCACCCCTTCCTGAATACACCTACTAATTTGGACTGCGACAAGAACTTGAGATAAGATAAAGGTGGTACTATTGTCCAATTATGCTAGGAGAAGAATGTATCCATAAGTGTGAGAAACCGGAATCCTAATGGCTCAGACAATCAAGGTGCAAGCTGACGATGTGCAAAGCAAGGAAAGAGGTAAATCCTGCAAGGCAGGGTAGTGTTTCTCTGTCCTTAAACAAATGACTCAGCTGTGATACCTCTCCTCCAGGGAACTACCAGAACAATGAACATGTAGCCTGAAGACATTAATCTCTGCTGATGGGCCATAATGGACTCAACTGCGCTGATGGAACAGGCAGCTGTCTTAGAAGGTGTCAAAGACTCATGAAATGTTCTGTGATCCAGTATTACATCATTCATTGTAAAACTCCCCACCTCAGGGGAGGTACTGGAGGTGTTTCTACCTAGCCTAAGTATAATAAAAATCCCTGGGATTTTCCTTAGCACCATGGACTTCTTCACCCACCATACAGGTTTCTTCCCACATCACATGGGACTTCCTTTACCACCACAGGCTTCTTCCCTCAAGACACTCTGGAGCTTCTTCTGTCACCACACAGGCTTCTTTTCTCACCACCCAGGGCTTCCCTCAATGGATCCAGACTGCAATCATCACTTCAACAAGACGGGGACTCTCAACACCAAGAAGACCACAAGAAGAGGATCAGCAGGATGCCATTGGAAACCATGGAGTGGTGATTTTTTTCTACTTAATCTGTCTGTCACCCTCTTTCTCTCCCCCCCTCTTTTTTCCTATTTCTGTCTATCTCTCTCTACCTCACATTTACTGTTAAATAAAAATCTGTACTGTTGACTTTGGCATATGGTCTCATTTGCAACTTATTTTGGGCAGAGACATCTCTCTTTAATAATTTAATGAATTGGATCATAACAGCATGTCAAGAAAATGTTGACCAAGACCCTAAGCCTCTTGAAACAATAGTGACATCTTTTAATTCTGGGAGCTCCTGAGCCTTTCATGGTAAATGGAGTGTGAGCTTTTGTGTAAACCCTGGAGCTTTAAGTCAACTATAAAGCAGCAAACCAATGAACCTGCATCTCTGTAGCTAGTAGCAACTTTGTTGTAATGACTACTTCAATTTTAACAGTCCTTGAAGCACAAGCACCTAGTGACAAAAAGTGCACGCTCCTGTTCTCAGCAAGAGCTGTTGGAATTTGCTGGATTGTAAAACATAGTTTGTAAGTATGATTTCAAGAACAAGAAAAATACTTTCAGTGCATGATTAAGTCCCTTCTTGAGTAAAAGTGATGATGATACTTATACTTCCAAGACCTCAAGTCTTTTGCTTCTACAAGAAAGTAGAGAAGGGAGTAGAGTAATTGAAATAAACATTCTTAAATCAAAGGAACTCTTCTCCATACTTTGCCCTGAGGATGCTCCCAGTGAGACAACTTTTTAGGTTATGCTATTCCTAATAGTGTCTGGCACTACAAGATACTTCCTTTTCTGACCTATTTTGCCTATTTTGATTCTTTCAGAATTGCTTTGCAATTGCAACATTAACATTTCACTCCATTTGCCTACACAGCATCATTCTGTGCCATAGGGGGACACAGGAACTGTCAACAAGTGCACTGGCTCCAAAACCAGGAACACTGGAATAATGGCTATGCTCCTCTTAATAAAGCCAAAATTACATCATCCAAATTAAGTAAAGAAAATAACCTCTCTTACTTTACAAATAGTCAATGATTTTTAGACTGTTTTTATGACTGATGACAGATCATGTAATTTTCAGCATATTTTTCCTACTACAGTTTTGTAACAGAATTCACATAGAAAGGTTATTTTCTTCTCTGTTCTGTCACTGTCTACAGCAAATGTAATTTTTTTGTTCATTGCTGTTCTTGCAAACTTGGGATTTGGTGCTTTTTGGGATCACTGAAATTCAGTGCAGTTATTATTTGAATAAATTCACTTGTCACTTCCATAGCAGACTGTCATTTTCCTTTACTATTGGAGATGTCCAACTGAGCATCAACAATGACTACCTATGTAGTTGCTTGTGCAGAAAGTACTGTAAGAACATGTTGGAGGGTAAGGGGCAAAGCTGGATCTTGAACCTGGATCTGTAGTCTTCAGGAGAATATTCCAGTCACAGAATTTTTGGTTGCTTGAGCATTTTCTCTTTCTCTTCCTCTCCTCATTCCTTCTCCATCTCCCCAACCACAAACTCTATGAAATAATTTTCTTGAAAAATTCATGACTGAATTAACTGATTAATATGTATGTATCTCAATGTCCTCTATGGATTTTTTTTTTCCTTTCTGATCTTCTGCAAAAAACTTCCAGTTGGCTATTATATTCAATAAAGTGAAAACTCAGAGTCCCAAGAGGCTAATTATCTATGGTTTTGTTACAATATTAATTCTGGCAATCATGGAGTTTTAAAATTCAGCTGAGGTAACATGAAAAGCAACTCTTTTAATAACTGCATGATCATGAAATACTGCAAAGAAGTTTTCTGAGGTAATTTGCTATTGTGAGATAGGGTTTTCCCCGTACTCTCTTAGCTGGTTTTCAGTTATGAATTTAGAAGAGTAAAGTTTGTTGATTTTGTCAGATGCCAGCTTTGGGTGTCAGGTGTCAGGTGTCAGGTGCCAGCTTTCCTTCAAAACATGTTTTGAATACAGGGAAAGGACTGCATAAGGCTGCAACATGCAAAATTATAAATGTTCTTACTTCTCTTGGTTTTTCATCTGTGGTTAGCATTCACAGTTTCAGGCAGATTTGGTGGGGGATGCAGATGCCTCTCAACATGAAGCCTTTTTTGCTTCCTTCTTCCAGTGGGCTCAGCTCTCCGTTGGTTAAACGTCACTGGAAAGACCCAAAGGCCCCCCTGTGCCTGCAGCTGCCACTACCAAAGGGTTTGAGTCTTCTGTAAGTCCTATGTCACATCTGCCTGGGCTCTCCCTAGATCTATCCAGGACATTTCAAATGACACCAGATGCCTGTATTAAAGCAATAAAATTGACCCACAGCAAACACTACTTTTCTGAACAGAAAGCAAGCTATAATTATTAAGGGCAGATCTTGGAATCTGGATTCTACTGAGTATAGGGAGATACATCATCTCCCTGTACACAGTTGTAATTTTTACGGTCTCTATACTCCACCCGGTTAAAAAAATCAGCCTCTCTGCACCTGCATCTAACCAGTTTTCACGTTTTCTAGTTACTTCTTCAGTCCCCTAACTGGACAGCTGCTTTCATAGGGTTTGCTGTGATCTAAGCTTTTATTTCAACTTCCTGAAGTTCATCTAGATTTAGTAAAAAAAAAAACCCACCAAAACAAAAAAACTCAGTTGCACATGGGAGAATAATTTATTCATATAATCCTACTGGTTGCCCGCAGAGTTTCTTTGTGACATAGTAACAGAGAAAATCTACTTCGTGGGTAAATCCTGTATTACTCTGACTGCCAAAGGAGTGTGGGAAGCACAGTGCCCGAGAGGCAAAAATAACCTTTGGTTTTGCCCAAAATACAACAGACAAATAATGCCCCTGCAGCAACATTAAGAGTACCTTCCCTTTTAATCTATGCAGTGATAAATTATTAGCAGATAGGTTTAAATTAATTTATTTCTTTTTATTTGGGGCAAACTTGGAAAAGTATAAATTGAACAGCATGATTTACTTACTTATTGTGGACCCAGATTCGGGCCTGTTCAGGGAACTGATGATAACAAAGCCAAAGCCCTCATTCTCCTTGCGGTGGATCACCACGTCGCTGGTTTGCAGGCTGTGAGACGCGAAGCCCTCGGGGGGAGTAGCATTGCTGCTGGAGGCAGCGTGATTACTGTTCGCGTAAGTCATGTAGTCACTTCTTGGAGAACTGTGGTGCGTAGACACCGAGCCTGGGCTTCTGCCATTCTCTGGGCAGGGTTCTCCTACAACATAAATCACACTAGTGTCACAGTCTGACTTGCTCAGTGGCTTTGTGACTTACAGTACATTTGCTAATGCAACATGAATACAGTTGACTGTCTAGAGCCCAGACTACTGCAAGTATTAAACTAGGAGCTGTAATAGATGCAGAGAGACAGGAATCCACACAATTATGCAGAACGTTCAAGGGTAATCAGATAAAGCAAGCATGAACCCTCACTGCTAAGCTAGCCAGAAGAGGGGAAAGTAAAGTGAGAAACAGTGTCTGTCTGGATTGCAAAAACATTAGCAAGCACTATTCCCTTATCTGCTGCTTGATCTTTCATCAAGAGGAAAATGTGACTCTCTAATTCAATATAAAATTATTTGTGTTTGGATTACAGGAATTTAAGCAGGGAGCTAACACAGAGTAATTAGGATTAGCTGCATTATGTTTTTCTTACAAGCTGATTAGTATGCTCAAAAGATGTTCATGGAACAGAGTAGTTATACAATGAAAAATAATCACAAGTAGTTTTTCTGTGGGTGTCATGGCAGAAGCAGTGGTCATTTAAAGAGTTTGAGGACGCTCTTGTCTGGGAAGTTCAAAAGGGCAGAAGTGAAAATGGAGTTCATCCACACCTCGATATTGCTTTATAGTAACAAAAACAGAGAACCAGCTAAAACTTTTGGGATTACACATTTTTTAGTCCAAGCATTTTGGCAATTGAAAACAGAAAAGTTACTTCTCCAGATGGGAAAAAAGATTTATATTCCTTGCAGATCTAAGTTGTTTACACAAATCAGCATTTATTGACAGTTTTAATACAGAACTTTCAGATAAATGTAAGTAACATGTTTTCTGTTCTGAGCAACAAGAGTGGCAGAGTCATTTTACTGAACATGTGAGGAGCTGATGCATACACACATACAACCTAGGTAGAGCGTTTGCAAATTAGACCTTCAGTGTGTATACATTAATAAAATAAACATCATCCAAGGACAAGCTGTTGTTTTCTCAGTCAGGTGTGTCCTTTAGCGGTCCTTCTGCAACTATGAAATAAAGTAATTAGAGAGTATAAAGAGGAAGAAAAACAAACAATTATTATACTCCTGCTTTGGAACTGAAAATCTCCAAAAGTTATTGAACCAAATCTGCAACTAAATGCCATAGTCAGTGACAAGAGAGATCTCATTTTCTGGCTGTCACATTTCAGAATGCTGAATATTGTTTATGTCAGTAGGGCTGCAACAAAAAGAAAATTATGTTATTCTGTAGAATGACCAAAGGCTGGTTTGGCCATAAAAGAATGCAACTGAATGCCATTAAATATAGGAAAAGAAAGATAAAGGAGGAAAAGTTTATATGGCTATTTGACTGTCAGCTATGCAATAGACATTCATCAGAAAAACTACGTTTTGCTTCTGGTTGTGAAAAAATGGTATTTTAATCCACATTGTTCCAAATACCACATTTTCCTAATCAAATTGTTTTCCAGAGCTTGTGAACTGTGATTTTCTGTTCCAGATCTGTGTAAGTGTATGTGAAAAATGGTGATTCCAGGTGAGGGCTAATATATGTATATCAACTATAGACAGGTAAGGAAACCCCCAGGCCCCTCTGTTGTATACATTCACACTAGTGAGAAATTCCCATGAAATTAATTGGCTTGATGTATTAGTATAGCGTTTTGCAGTCACGCCCAACATTAGTCGTTTTAAAATTTTTTCACAAAGCTTATGTTATAACACAACACATTAAAATCTTGTTCAGCTCCTGCAATGCTTAAATATTAATGAGTTACACACCATATTCCTTCGTGTGGCACTCTGAAGGCCCAAGAACAACTTCAGGTGTTTTACCAGCTTGCCTCATCCTCTGTGCCGGGAGACCAGGCTGGCTAGCAGACCCTTTAATACTTAACAAGCAGCAGCAAAGGCTGGCATCCACTCCGTGCTAACCCTCTTGCTAATTTTGCCTGCATTCTGTACAGCTGGCTGACCCGGGAAAGGCGCTAAAGGCAAGGACTCGGCAGATTACCTTGGTTATTGGCCATTTTCCTCGCGCTGGGGGAGCTGCGAGGGGGCGTCGCGCCGGGTGCAGGGGGAGTTTTCTGGCTGGAGGACTCTGGAGTCAGTAACAGAAGAAAGTCAGTCCCGCGAGAGCGTGGCTGTCAGGGAGCTGCGGTGCCGCAGTGGGAGGGGGACTGAGAACACGAAGGTGAGTGGGAGGGCGGTTTTTTGGCAGGGGAGCGAAGGGGAATGGTGCAGGCAGCGACAGTGGATCTAGGGCATGGGGAGGCATAAGACAGGACAGGCTGAGAATGTGGGTTTGCTCATTTCTGGTGCCTCAGTGAAGTGTACTCACCACAAATGTTTTAAAAGTTCTTAAATAAACTTCTCGAGTAAGCGAAGGTTGCAATGAAACGGCATTAAATTCTCCCATCAAAGCTTTAATAGATGCTGCCACACATTCCTCCAGGTTCTGATGTTTGAGACCAAACTAGTCTAAACATCTAATTTACTACAAATACTTCATATTGTTTTAGGTTCATTTTCTGAATGTGTCTCCTCGATGAGAGAATCTGGCCCTGTTCCTAGGAGCCACTTGTGCCCTACAGAAGGTTTTCAGCCAACTTGTGTTGCAGTTCGGGGGGAAATTCCAGATGACATAAGTGAGACCAGAAATGGGCTTTTAACATACACAAGAGTGAAATGGGTTCCTGCCCTGAACAGTTAATAGTCTTTGAGTCTCTCTGATTGCTTATTGACACAGTCAGCTCAAATGGCTTTAACTTCGGTGAACGATTAGTCCCAAAAGTGGACAAGAGGAGACAGTACAGACCAAGACAGCATGGAACAAATCCAGAGCACTCATGATCACCACACCAGGGTTGCCAATACTGTTTCCACTTCTGAAGGAAACAACACTCAGCTGTAGTATTTTTGTCACAGAAACAAGGGACACATTTACAATTATTCTTTCCTCAAAATGACACCAACATTCACTTTTATTTCCTCTGTTTTTTAAGAACAGCACCTGTTTGTGCTGCTAGCATTGGGATCTGTTTTCCATTTCACCTTTCCCAGCCTTCACTCACCCGTGGGTAGCACCTTTCTCCTCACAGTAAGGTTCACTTGCCCGTTTCGGGCAGCGTTATGCATAAGATCAATCACATATCGGTGGGTTTTGCCGGCCACTGGAATCCCATCTACATACACCAGCTCATCACCAGGATGGAGACGACCATCTCGGTCTGCTGAGCCCATGGCAATTACTGCTCCGATGAGAATCTAGGCAGCAAAGAAACAAAATCCTGTCATTTATACACTGAGCCTCCAACTTACATGAACGTTGCTTTGATTTTCCCTTTCTTCCAAAATTAGGCTGGCGATTTAGTGCAGGTGAAGAGATCTGTGTGTCTGAGAGCTCTGCTTCCTTGCCTTTGGTAAGAAGGTGTTTCCTACCTGCATAGGAGTGACACACCTGAGAATCCCAATCTAAGGAAAATCTACTTGATACCTTCAAATCAAGAAAATCTATCTCTAAGGACTGTGGAGTTATAGACTACATTATGCAGAAGATCTAAACATTAATTCCATGTAAGGATCCTTTTGACTTAAAATTAGTGAGTCTACATATTTCTTATCAAAGGTTCTTCACTGCTGTGTGATTTAAACACCTGAAATTAAGCACCTGAGATCATTAGTGGAAGTGACCCCACTACACAGAGTTTGCTTTCAGACTCTTTAGGAGAAAAGAAGTGCTATATTAAAATGTTGTTACTTAGAATGAATAATTGCTTAGGTAGTGACTGATTAACAAAATGGAAAAAAGAGGAAAAATGTCAGCTTGCTCTGGGCAGACTTTGTTTTTCCAAATCAACATTTAAATGTAATTTGTATGGGACGTATAAACTAGTAAAAACCTGTCCAAAAACTTTTAACAATTTTCTCCATTTTATATACATATAATTTCACATAATTTATTAGAAGAAGACATATATATTTTCCCTGTGGAATAACTGGTAGAACAGTTGAGCTTGATTCAAACAAAACCTGCTTTCTTTGAAAGAATATTAAAGCATTCAGAGAGTGTTCCGAGTTTTCCTTTCTCTTTTTCACTGTGAGAGTGAGCATAGAATGATGGATATGACATGCCGTGTGACAATCCACTTTAAATAAGAAAAGAAAAAAGCTATCAAGCACTGCTTTTCATGATGAACTGCAAAGGCTAGATGTGCTAGTCACACAGGTGCTCCTGTGGGTTTTTTTGTGGTCTTAGTTGCACAGTTGCAAATATCCCAGCAGAGTGTTTAAATGAAAACCTATGTGGAGCCTGGAGAATTTCCCCCAATTTTTAGCCTCCCTTTGGCTTACTTTTACTTTCAAAACTTAGCAAAGAGAGAACATGATGCAGCATTTTCCTGATTTCTGGTGTTTCTGGGATCCTGTTAAGCAGCGCCAGGCTGAGTGGCCACAGAGACTGTTTCAGATTCTCCATTCTGTTCTTCAAATAGTGAAAGAATATACCTCAAAGCTCTGGCAAAATCCAACTATGAAATATGTATTTATGCTCCTTTACTGGACAGGAAAAAAAGCTCTCCAAGGCTATGTTTAGCTAGATGTCCAGAGAGTATTCTCAAAATCTTTCCAGTTGGGAAAGATTTTTCTTTTCCTAGTTCTCTTGCAAAAAGATGGGTGATAGCCCTCTGCAGCTTGTAAGATTACAGGGAGAGTCTTCTTCCTTTGGTTTTATTGAGCTCTTTAAGTTTTTTTGTGATTGTCTGCCAAAATATTGAACAATTTGTGCATATTTAACCTTTGGAGAAACACAAATGCAAATCACAGCACGTTAGGTCACCAGTATCCACAGCAAAGTGCAAAAACTCCTTCTAATTTTGACTAATTAATTATTGCTGATATTTCACATGTCCACCTGGGAATGTGACTGTGTTACTCATTTCAGTGGTGGACTCCTAACCTAAGTAGCAGGGTCCAACTTTGAACACTTCAGGTGTGTTTGTCAAGATGAGGGCCATCATATCTGTTACTTGTATATTTAATAGCAAGAATAGCTTAATATTTCTACTTTTTCATTTTCTGTGTCTGAACTTGTTTCTTATCCAGCATCTGCTCTCATTTCATGGATGAGTAGTTGCCATAATACTTATCAATTCTACATGCAAAACACAAATTGGAAAAATATATATCAGGATTATATTACCTCTGTAATGCAGTTTCATACTGGCATGAGATTGCTTTGAATGTGTGAGGAAAAGGATGACGACATGTAAGCGATAAAGATTTTGTTGGAGAGAAAAAGGAAAGTTTCTCCTATCGTTTGAGATTAAACATGAGAAATACTGGAATTAGGAAGACTGTGGCAGAGCACAATCTGCAATTGAAGCCTGGTTCTATTAACTGATACATGTTAATTTGTTTTGACATTGGCTTTCTTTGTGATTCTTGGTAATTATTTGATTTTGTGTTTCAGTTTCTCTGAGTATGACACAGTAGCTTCACAGGCATATAGTAAAATTAAGTAGATACAGATAAAAGGTGTGATTCACTTAATTTTAATGTCTCTAATGTCTAAATAAAGCTATTCATCTGAACTCTGCCCAATCACTGCTAAAATAGGACTTCCCATGCATTATACCAACATTTTGCTCAATGGACATCTGTTATGTCTTAGAAGTGTCTGTATCCTGGCACTGATAATGCAAAGAATGTAAACATGCATCTTGCAGACATTTTTGAGAAGAATTGCAGTCCATCTGTGTTGAAAAGGTAAACTCTTAGTAAAATTATGTACATGTTCCTGTGATTTTGAGTTTGAGCTGAACAAATGTATCCAAAATACATCTCCCTTTTGAGACAGCAATTTTCAACATCAGGAAAGTTCCAATTTATGTGTATTTGCAATGTTTCAGTGACACTATAATTAACTGTAACAGAGCCAGATTATCTCTAAATCCTCAAGTTACTGGGAGATATGATAAATACCTATGGCGATATGAGTAGATTTGAGAGGTGATTGGAACTGGCACAACCCACACTCTTGAGATTTGAAATTTCTCAATTTAAGTATTTCCTTTCAAAAGCATCTTTATGCTTACAAATACGGAAAGTGGAATATTTCAGCAGCACTTTATTCTTCTAAGGAGCCATGTAGATGATACAACTAGAATGAAACTAAGCTACAGTCCCTCTATAGTGCCAGTATTATCCTTCTAAAAAAACTTATTTGGATTCTGCTTCTTTGAAAAAGTTATTGCCTTATGCTGAAGAACCCATATTCCTTTTTAGAAATCAAACCACAAAGACAAAAGCTTCCTTTTGTTCTGTATTACCTGACTGCACAGCAGGAGACCTGAAACAAAAATTTCAAAGTGTCTCAGTTCTTGTTTCATAGGAAAAGCAGGGGTTTGGAGACTGCCTCTCCTTCTCTGGAGGTGAAAGAAATTGGAGGCTGCAGGCGGGCTGTCCATGGGGGAGCAGGGAAGCAGTGGAGGGGAGAAAACAGTTAAGAAGTCTTGTACTTTGAATACAAAATAGAGGGACACTAAAAAAAAGAGAAGAGCGTATCTGTGTTCTTTATTGGTGATGTATTTGATCAGTGAAAACAAATAGGTGGGCAACAATGAGGGAGTGAGAACTGAGAAATTCAGCACTGCAACACAGTTCTGAGGAGGTGCCTTTTTACCTTAGGATCCTCAGCCTCCAGTTAGGATCTTATTAACTCTTGAGGACTTTAAGACGGTTTGTGGGGAGACATAAATCCCATTGGACTGAAAAATCTGGGAAAAAAATGTTTTTATATTTTCAAGCATTGAAATAGAGATATTAACCTTGAGACTAAGCATGGGCTGGGAGCAATTGTTCAATAGGACAGTGAAGCGTCTTAGAGGGTGGTTCACAGAAGGCAGCATTTTTGGTCCTGCTTTCCAAAAACAACAAGGTACTTATCTCTGCACTTGGTATCCAGTTATGACTCTTTGATTTTGGACAGCAAAGTCAGGTCAGTCCTTTGTTGAAAAGACACTAGAAAGACCTTTTTCCTCTGTAACAGTTCAGTGCATAATGCAGGTAGCTGTGGGGCAAAGGGCTTGTTTCAAAATTCCTTTTCTACCTGGACTGCTGAGCAGAGACTCAAGTCTCTCACAACTCTGGCATGTATTCATAACTATCAGTATATCGAGTATTCTATATGAGTTTTTTCTCAGTTCTTTAGGTTGAAATTATTCAATTTTATATAAATCATCTTTTAAATAAGGCATTTGAACTGCACTTTTTCCCATGAGATTGTTATAAACCTCCAATTTGCAGAGTCAGTCAGATTAAGTAGTCTGTGACTACTTAATTATCCATTTGTAATGAAAAAAGCACTAAAGACACTAAGAGAGACTTCCCCAGAATACTGAGCAGCCTTGTAGCCAGGGACACTTTCCTGGGAGAAAGGAAATGCCATTAGACACTATTGTCTGAAGCAGGTAGAGGGTCATTTCCAAATGCTCTAGAATGATAGAATGGTTTGGGTTGGAAGGGACATTAAACGTCATCTACTTCCAACCTCCCTGCGATAGGGGAGAGAAATCCATTGGCATTGACACATTCCACTACAGTGGGCTGCTTAAAGCCCCAGTCAACCTGGTCTTGGAGGTAGTGCCTTCCACTAGTGCCATTTCTTTACAGATATAAAATGATAAAATGGCTTCATCCAGTAGGTGAGCTTTGAGAACCATACTGGCTGGGCTATCTAGAAAGGACAGGAAAAATGCTTAGTTGGAGAATGTGCAGATGATGGCTTCATTTTATATGCAATGAGACATGCTCCATGGAAGGAAGTTTGATGTCAGAGGGGCTTCAGGCACACATCTATTGCAAGTGTAGATGACGAAGCAGTGTTGTTTTGGAGTCCTTCTGTAGAATAATAACTTATATTTGAAAATCATTCCAAAACACTCATTCTAAACTAGAATATCTGCATTTCAATCAGCATTTGAAGCACCTTTTTGAGAATAGAGTGTATTTTTTTCTTTTTAAAGGAGACATCAGTAAACTATTAATATTTATCAGTACTTTGACAGATGTTGAAAATTTTAAAATAGAAGAGCTTTATTTCTCAGAGCCATGTGCTGTTTAATGTTAAAGCTTAAATGAAAACTATATTATTCTGTATGCATTTGAATACAGAATACACAAATCTATCAACTAGGGAATATATAAATCTATTAATTAGTTATACCTTATGTCAGAAATGTGGTAACATAGGACTCAGACTGTGCATAAGGTTGTGATAATAAAACACTATTATTATTGACTTGGGATCAGTCCTCGCTGCCAAAATATGGTTACATCATCAAGATTTTTCTGGAGGAGTACTAATTCTGCCTAATTCTAGTATTTACATATACCATTAATTTATCAAAAAGTGTAATATTTGTGATGTCTCACACATTAGCCCCGTATCCTCTGGGCTTCTACAACATTTCTTTTAAAAATTGTATATATGTTTTATGTTATATATTTATTTCACCTGCAGTGAATCTATGTTAGTTTTGTTACCTGTTATTTGGTTACAGGGATGTCTCCCTCTGAATGGTATAAAGCTACTATTTTTATGCCTGATGTATCATATGATGTTGACATCTAACCTGCAACATGGACCACTGTTCCCTCGTGGGACCTTCTGTGTTTCTGGAAATAAACTGCATTGTTGACAGTATCTTTTAACCTTATGCATATATTATGCATACAGTCTGCCTACATTGGACATGGTTATAGATAGTCTTACATAATTTGATTTCTAAAACTTTCTGCTTAAACTTGGGTTTGGAAAGTCAAGATTAAGAGATGCTAGGTCACACTCTGAAGTAATGGGATGAGTGATGCACTGTTTCTACCTTAATGCCTTCTGATTCCAACTTAATTTACTGTTACATCTTTCAGATGTGAACAACCTGAGAGTTCTGTCTTATTCTATGGATGAATAAAAGCCATTTTACTTATAGCCTTAACACAGTATTCATTTGGGTTCAGCTATGTAGTAATATTTTTCTGACCTTTACACAGATTTTAGAATGTGGAAGGAAAAGGAAAATCAGGAAGAAATAACTCACAGGCTGTCCAGGCTCATCTCCTCCCAGGATCCTGAAGCCAAATCCAGACTCCATTCTCCGAAGGTGAACATCCAACTCCTTGTAATCGGGACCTGGTTTAAAGGGAAATCCCACTGAGCAAAGCATATTGGCTTTGTCTTGAGAATCTGCACCATCTTCCCTCCCACCTTGTGTTCATTGCACATGACTAATGGCATCCTGGTTAGAGCTGGTGGAAACAAATGGGCCACAGACAAGGAAGAGAATTGAAAATGCAGGTTATCTCTTGGAGGATGATTATGTTCAGTAGAATACACTAAACCAAACTAGAATACATTCATAGAAGAACAGTACTGGAAAAGTCTGTCCAAAATAGAGGCTATAAAGGTGTCTTCTTCCTAAAACTGACTGCATAATGGACTGCTGTTCATCCACCTCTGGTATTTAATTTGTGTTTTCCTTGCAGTTCATTAAACCCTAAAAAGAATAAACTGAAATGGGAGATAGAGATACATCAGTCCAAGTTGCAAAAGATGAAAATCATTACAGGTCATTTAAGTTTCAAACACAGATATAGAGCAGTATGTCTTTTTATGTAATGTAGCTTTTAAGTATTCACTTTCAGGTAATACTCTCAATAAAGAGTTTTGACGAAAGCTCTCATTATAAGCCTCTAAGTCTTAGGGTTTAAAGTGAAGGCTAGCATCATTAACTTGAACTCCTTAAAGCTACCCAATTAAAGTCTCAACAGCTTTCTGAATCCTTAAGATTGTGCTTCCATATGCCCATGTAACCTGGCTGTAAAAATCTATTCTGTCCTGGAAAATATCAATTCAGGAACAAAGTGTCTTTTAAAAGACATTTTCTTATAAAAGTGTCTTTAGCTTCACTTGAAAGAACCTATTGTTCTGGGTCAAAAATAATAATAATTGAATAAAATTTCAAATATTACAAAGTGAAACTGTAAGCATTTAAGGGACTAAGAACTTGTTTATTGTGACTATTGCTTTGTCTGCATGCTCAGAGATGCTTTAGGCTCATCACTTAAAGCAGGACAGTGATTAACAGGAATGGTCATTCCTAGGAGTCGCACTCTGGTCTACGTATTATGACAGCTTTGGTCAGCTTGTTGCCAACCCCCAGAGACAAAAAGCGATGAGTAGGTTTATTTCAGCAAACTGCTCATAGTGTGACCAGTTGTGCCTTGTTTCCTCAGGACATGAGGGACTACAGATGGCTGAAACACGGTACTTCAGCATCTCTCATAGATATCCCCTCAGAGCCATCAGTGAACACCTCATAAACTGTGGAATTGAGCAGATCCCAGGTTTAGTCTGGGATTAAAGCTGAATCTATTTCAGTCAAGTCTTGCAAAGACAAATACAGAACTACATGCACTGGTCCTATACTATGACTGTGCAATTAAAAATCCTCTATAGATAGCAGCATAGTGCATTATTTCAACAATCTATATTGGTAAGAGATTGAACCACAAATATTTCAATTGGTAAAGTAAAAGTATTACCTTTCCCTACCAACTTACTTGTCATATATTGAGAACCCAAAGAGAACTGAACAGCTCATTATACTGACTTTTTCAATTTATTTGATAAGTGTCTCAACAGTATATAAAAGAACAAATAAAGTTTTTGCATGTACAGCATGTTAACTTAATGCAAATTGTTTACAAGTTGTAAGAGGCAAAGGAATTTTCAGATTAAAGAAATACTTTATCTCTACCTGATTTGCTGTGCCTACAAGGATGAGGCTTATCACTAGCGAGAGAGCTTTGTAGATAAACTAATGTTGGCACCAGACTCCAAAATAAGAGGTACTATTTCTTTTAAAAGACACTGTTTCTCTTCCCATTTAGAATTAAATAGGTAAGCCAGGTTGGCCAGGAAAAGGTTTAGGTTAAAAAATACTGTATATGGGCATACTTTTTTATGACCTCTAACACAGCTCAGAAGCCTTTGGATTAACTGACTGTGCCACCACGCTTGCTCAGAAGAACCTTCCTTAGAAGTCCATGGAAACCATTCTCTGCCAACTCTTACCAGGCCACTGAAAACTGCTTTTGAAAAATAATGTTCTTTTCTGTCCCGCTAAGGAACAAAACATGGGACTGGAAAGGATCCCTGGGTCATCTAGTCCAGCTTCCTGTTATTGCAAACCTCTGCAAGCAAACAGCACACAGACCTTACTAGTAAAGACACAGGCAAAGAAGGCACTGGTACCTGAGCTTCTTTGTGGTCTTTGTTCCTAGGTCACATGCTTCATTCAGAGTTTTCACTGATGGATTGCATCCCATAAATTTACTTACTTTTTGCAGTAATATCACAGTATCTCCAGTGACTGACTAGTACACAAGACTGCTTCCTCTGCTGGTGGTGTTGGTTATTTCAGCTTTCATGCTTGATATGGTATGACTCTACTGGCTGCACTGACCACCTCTGCATTGGGCTGGAGACAGCTACACCATAGATTCCTCAGGTTACCTCTCTGAAGGTGGACCGGGTTTATACCCTTGTTTTTTTTGCTTAATTCATTAATGAAAATAAGACAGAAGATTTAATGCAAGGCTCTCCAATAATATTAGCCTTTCAGTTCAGAAACTGTTCTTTTAGTAGAAATGTTTACCTGCTTTCTAGCCATTGCTCTTTACATTTCGTGATAAGCACTGTCTTCTCCAGGCTAATGTAAAAGTGTTTCAATTATATCTGGCATTTTGTAAAATTTCTAGTTGAAGTATAAATGGATTAAGCTTGTCTGGTGTAAAAAATCAGTTATCAGATTAATCTGAGCAACCAACTTCTGCTAAACTCCTTTCCCATGGTTCTCAGTTTATCTCCATATCGGTAGTTCATCTTTGATAGAAAATATGTTCTAAAGCCCTGCTGCTACTGAGATCCCTTTTTTCCTGATTCTGAAAGACAGGTAAGCTGTTCACTAATATGTACTTTTCCTACAGGAGCTCATGCTTGGTAGATTTACTGGATGCCCCTACTGTTACGTGGCAGCAGTTCGTTATTCTTGAATATACACTGATCAAGTGTTCTTACCCACGTAAACGATTACATTTCATCTGATATTCCTCCAGTGCTTACTTCTCTAGGACTCTGGTACTTTTTTTTTTCCTCACAAAGGGTTTTTTTGCTGGAGCAGATTTTCAACTGATCATACAGAGAAAATTACCTCTACTTACAGAAAAATTATGCTTCTGTGCCTTGCAGTGTACTGCAAACTGTTGGTTAATATAAATTCATAATGGAAAATGTGTCTTTTTGTTTTCTCTTGCTAACTTAGATTAGCACCTTGTGGTTCATGCCAAGTAAGAAGAAATGAATAAGCTGCAGACACGGGAGTCAAGCCAATACTGAACTAACATAGCTTATCCTTCCTGTCTACTTAATACATGTTAACGTCCTGTCTGCTACCAGTTTCATCAAAAGGAGAGTTTCACCTTAAGTCAACATTTTTGATCATATAAAAGGGGTATCCTGTGCCAGAATGACAATGTTCCCTGTTCCTGCTTGCCTCCGTAAACATTTATGTTAGAACAAGAACTTTAGCTTTGCCTGCTAGTAACTTCATTCTCTTTTTTTATAGTTATAGAATTTAGTTTCTTCCTTTTTGTGTAAATGAAAACTTTCTTAACTGATCATTTGGCCTAGAAGACAAAAAACCACACCAATTCACTTTGCTAGGTTATGAAATCACCTGGCTCCCCCATGACTTCTAGAATGGTATTGGGCAAACTGTGATCTGACCATTGCTGCACAGTGGGGCTGGTAAAGAGCATGGGGAAATTCTGGTTCCTGGATGACAGGGAATTTACTTTAAATGTAATGGTACCAGAATAGATTGTTACTGAACAATAATGAGATCTCACAAGTGAAGATGCGATTATCTACTCTGAGCTAGCTTTCTGTACTGTATTCACCCGAATAGGTAGGTGAATTAGACACTGATTAACGTATATGCAATTGTTCCTTAAGTGTTGAGAAAATATATCCCTGAAGACAATGAATTGATTTCCTCTGTGAGTCAAGATGAACAAGTGCTATGTGATTTTACAGTGTTAAATCTGATATTTGGGATGATGCTGTAAATGTTGATATAGAATTTTTTTATTAAATCTCTTCTATATTGCAATTAAAGCAAAGATGAAGAGCTTTGCTGTGATAATTTTACAATCTTTCTAGGCGTACTCAACTAATCTGCTAAAAAGAAAAACTAATTAGGACTCCCTTGATGAAGATGGTGAAGATTTTTGTTTCATATAAATAATTAGAAATTGTGAATTGTGATTGACACAACACTACAATAACTTCATCTGAGTTTCGGATGCTCTTGAAAGATGTGAAAAGCTTGCAAACAGTAATGGGTCTGCTGGTCTACAATGAGAGTAGCTTTTTAAAAAACCATACATATTTCCTCCTGATATTTATAGAGAGGAAAGCTGGCAAACAAAGGTTTCAGTATGAAAATCATCAAAGAAAAAAAAAGAAAAAAGAATTGGTGTGTTAACACAGTTACTCAATGTATAAACCCTGCTCGGGTATGTAAAACCAGAACAATATCATATTTAATTTAGGATCTCTGTCCAAACTGTGCAGGACTTGAAAAGACTTTAATGAGATTGTCAAGATAGCCTTTTTTTGGTATGGGATGCCTGTTTTAACTGTTCATTTAACATAATCACACTGAGAAATCAAATGTTGTTGGTTTTTTAAGAAGTCCATTGCCATTTTACAAGACCAGTGTTGATTCAAACACCCCAAAAATCTCCCAACTTTGACAGTTTTTGCTTTTACATTTTTACAGCCCAAGACATATTTATGGAATAGAATTAAATTCAGTTTTACAAAAAGTATTGTTTAAGTTTAGATTTGGGCATGAATTATAGAGATACATTTTTATGCTAAAGATTGAACACTAATGTATGAAAGTACACATAAAACACACTAAAACATACACAAAAGTTGACTGAGGAAAAAGAAATGTTTTTCCTTTTTCAAAATGCAAATCTATTATAAAAAGATTTAGAGTAAGCATTCTATAACCCCACAAGAATCTTACAAAATAAAATGGTAACTGGGCAGTCATGACTGGCCATTATTTGGAGAAATGATAAAGAAAGAAGAATAACTAAAACATAAAATGAAGGACAACTAATTTACGGAACAACAAAGGCTGAAGAATACTTGCCAGAGGAATCCGCTCGAAAACCAGTCCTGGGCAGCACTTGTTCTGAATAGGAAAATGGGGAATTAAAGATGAAATACATTTCTCAAGTTATTTAAAGATGCAGCATCAATTTCTCTGCTGTGTTTTGAATTACTAAAGTGCAATTTCTATTTTTCTTGCATTTTTTTTCTTCTCCCCTCCTTTGTCACTTTTTAGGTGGTACATATAATATTCCTGCTAAATGATGACCTACCTATCTATTTCTACGCAAAGTCAAACAGATGGTAAGATGGCAATGTTTCTTTAACATAATGTAGGTTCTGATGAAGGTAAAATTGTTAGTGTGTAGTGTGTTTTAAACTGTGAAAATTAGTGACAATATTTGTCCTTATTCAAGTACAGCAATAAAAGGGAAAGTTTAATGGCTGTGTTTAGATGACTTGACCACTGCCCTTATACAACACAATTGCAAAATGTCTTTTGTCATCAAGAAGAGCAAGTTTGCTAGAGGGATGTACGTTGCCAATAACAACAGATTGTATGTGAAGGTAAATGCAGGCAAAACCCTTTACCACACTTTTCATGCAGGTGGTTTCAAAGTATTTGTATTTCACTAGGCAAAATGCAGCAAATAACTGTTTTGTTTTCAGATAACACTACTTTGCCCACATTAGAGGAATTGGGAATGAGTCCCTAGCTGAATTCAGTCATGCTTCCTTTGCTGAATTTGCAACATTCTGAACAAGAATTTCTTTTTTATTATCTTGGCAGCATCCAGAGTGAATTGCAAAACATTCCAAACCAGAGGTGGCCATCCATTGGCCTACCCACAACAAAAGGGCAAATAAAGCACTAATGCATTCATGTGACTCTAAACCGGAATATCATACCATGGATATTTCATGGTATAAACAGGCTAAGGTCTTTCAAACAGCATTTGTAGAACAGTGACGTGTAAATATTATCTTTCTGAGACAGAAGGAAGACAGGTGTGGATTTAATATTCTAAGTAGGTAGTTCCAGGAAGAAAGAAGACAGAGAATGCATTGTAGGCCAGCAATTTTGGCTAAGTCTTCTGGAAATATGTGAATGTATGTGGTAAGATACTTCTATGGAAGCTCCATAACACTTTGAAAGAATTTGGACTAAAACTACCTGCCTTCTGGTGGACGGCTTCCTAAAGGCAGCATGGGCTGTAATGGCAGCAGCTGAGTAATTCACAGTTCACTTGAGACAATACTGAACTAGTTGCTCTAGAGCAAAACATTTTCCCAGAAATGGAAATGAAAGCCACTGAAAGTCTTACAACTCTTTTGGTAAGAATATTTATATAGCAGCCATGACCTGTCCAAATTCAGGTTCACTGGATGGGAACTTCCTCTTGGATTTGGTGTTCCTGTTCTATTTGTGTTCCCCCTCTGAGTTGAGTTGTGTCATGTGGGCTATGTTGTTTTAGTTTATAGGTGGCTACCCATCTTTAATTTGATGGTTAAAGGAGGTAATTCCTTCACATGCTTCAGATTTTGTACAGCGATTTGGGATCCTTCAGGTGAGAGGTGCTATCTAAATGTAAAATATTCCACCAGAATAACTCCTGAAAAAAATAAAAAAACCCAAACCCTTTGAAACTGATGCTGCTCCACTGCAAACTTGGAGAAATGATTTTTTTTACTCACAGCCTTTCAAGATTTTAATGGAATTCTTAAAAGAGACAGAATGATTTTAATGTACAGAAAGCAATTTTATCTTGGTAGTCTCCATAAGCTTTTAGCTTTGAAAGGACATAAGCTTTTTCTCTTGGTCACTCAGCTAGAATTGCTCTTTGGAGCTGCTGTGAGATTGGTGCATTCTGTGTTTCCATTTCTGCTTGCAGTCTTCCTAATATCTCCCAGAACTGGCCTCAAATAGCAAAGTGAAAGAAACACCATCATGCTCAAACTGTGACAAATTAGGGAACGACTTGCTCTGTCAAGACATACAGCCTTATATTTTAAATAAGTTAGCAGTGACTTTTTTTGTGAACTATTGTCTGTGATCAAGCAAAAGTGCCTGTCAATGAGGTAGTTTCCTTCAAAGCTAATCTGATGAAGTCTGATACGGCTTTTGTTCCTCTGCCTTGCAGAGCTTCATGTAGAGTTTCATGAAGAGAGTTAATTATCATCTTGTAATCAAGCATTCAGCATCTAGCATGTGTTCTCATTGCAGTGTAGGACTTCACACACACAAAACTTGGAACTGTGCTATGCTGAAGACATTGAATCAAACCTGTGCAGTACAGGATAACTGTGATTATGTCACTGACATAATTATTTTACTTTGAAAAACAGAATATAAACTCTAGAGAGCTGTGCTCACATGACAAGCCAAGCTGTTGGCAACTAGCAGAGAACTTCAAAAGAGGAAAGAACTGTGTAGAACATTTAGCATATAAGAAGGGACTGAATTAGCAAGGTCTCCACATTTCAAATGCAGAAATAAATATTTTTTTTGCAAAACTCATATAGTTCTGTGTTCAAAGATTCTACAGAAAAGCAAGTTCCAAGTGAAGAGGAAGGACTGCTGGTCCTGCTCCTCAGCTATCCTCGTGTCTTCTATCTGCTAAGAACAAACTGATTGAACTGGTAATTTTAACAGAATACTGAGAGACTCCAGCAATCTGTCAATTAGTATTTATAGGAAACTAACTTTTACAGAAGGCAATTTGAAACCTTCCATTTATTTGTTACTAAATTAATTTTGACATTTTCTAAACTTTTAATAGAAATTTTTCTAATATGTTAACCATCCTGCCTCCACCTCACAGGAAATGAGGCAGCAGAAGGAAATTTTGGAGAGGTCAGGAAAAAGAGATGAGACTGCCCAACACTGCCATCATGAACAGGCGTTCAAAGTGCAGAAAGTTTTAAAATGATGACATAAGATTTCTGTATTCTCCATATGAAGCCCTTCTGGTTGAACTTCTGCAGCTGCATTGCCATGAGTAGTTGTAGCCTTTCATGTGAAATAGCAATGAAATAACCATAAAGTAAGCTTGAATGAATAATAAAATACTCAGTAATTTTGCTGATTTCATTTTTTTTTTTTAGTTCAGCTAACCTGTCCTAGAAACAAGAATTGGGAAAGTAAAACTAAGAATTATTCTTCTTAATTGCTACTTGTGTATAACTGTAACCAAAATAAATTTCCACCATAGGGACGACTGTGTGCTCTGGAGAACGAGGATGCAGCTGTGCATTTTGAAGAATCTTGCTATACATCAAGATTTGGGGGCAGGAAGCAGATGATCTTTAAGTCCCTTCCAACCCAAATAATTCTGATAACCATTCTATGATGAAAGCAAAGCCAAGATTAATTTTGCTATTAGAAGATAGCATAGTAAAAAGCTTGTACGTCTGCACGTTTAGTGTAAAATAAATTACACTCATAGTTTGAAAACTGCATAATATTTGTGAAAAGAGATAAGCAATAGACAACATCTGGGACACAATTCTGATTTAAATGAAATCAATGGTGAAAATAGCAGGTTTCTTTGCTGTCAAGATAGAGCCATAGGAACACAATTCACCCACAACATGACATAAGGATATTCTTATTTGCACCAGTGGAGCCACTGGTATTCTCTGGAGGGAAAATTATGAAAGACAGGGATGATAATATTTATTTTCCATACTGTTATTTTCTAGATCAGACTTGGTTGAATGCTAAACACACGGAACAAAACTAGCACTAGGGCACATTTATATTTCAGCATCTCAGTACTAGCCATGCTTTTTAGGTAAACAGGAGTTTCAAAAATGAGAAGAATAAATGTGACCATGCTGCAATGCCCTTACCAGCGCTGTGCAAGCAGCAGTTTGACACAGCACACAGGCAATGCAGAACCCATTTGTCTCATGCACCCGTGGCCAACTCCCGAATGCCTGCAAGTCAGTTTTCTTAAATTATTACTTTGACTTCTTAAGTACACACTGCCACTTTGCAGATCAAAATCTATTTGTATACCTTTTAGTAAAGTGTAAATTGTTCAAGAGAAAGGAATACTACATCTTTAATACTGTCATTAGCTGTAAAACTGACACTTCATATTAGCAGGGGTCACTTGGGACCTACTTTGCAATCCAGCAATCAAATCATTTTACATCCATGATTCTGTGATGATGATAAACTCATAATTCCATTTGAAAATGCTTTGGGTTTCACTGTCAGTTCTTGTAAGCAACAAATCCATTTTGTCATGGTGAGTAACTCTTTCTTCAGTGACAAACAATACAAAACTATTTGACATTGGACTGATAAATTTCCTCTCCTTTCATTATGTATGATTTCTTATTAAAAACAAAGGATTACATTCATTTAGTAATATAAGTTCTTAGACTTTTTCTATGCTTGGGGTAGCAATAGATGCAAAGAAAATGCCAACATGGGCTGTTTGACAATTGCTTTGAGAAATTACCTTCTTATAACTCAGTTGCTCATACTCTAGATCAAGGAGTAGTTTGATGATAATACGTCTTAATTAGCAATTTCCAATACTTTTATTTACTAAGTGAAGGCAGGCATGACTTACTGACATAAAGGGCACTAAGTGGTGAATAGAAATATTGAAAGATATTGTAAACTGAGCTCAAGGAAGATTTGAACCTAGAACCTGATTTTCTAACTTGTAGTCTCAAACCCTTTACCCATACAAAAATCCCCTTTATATGATACTTCAGAATACTATGTATCTCATGTCATGATAGTTCAATGTATATATACATCTGCATACATATGTATACATATATTTTTTTAAAGCACCATAAACAAAATGTGACTTTTTTTAGACTAGAAATGAGCAAAAATGGGAAAAATTGTTAAGAGGCAATTTTTTTTTTGGTCAGGAAAATACTGTCTGAAAAAAATTGTAGTAAAAATTATGGGAAAATTTTCCTTCAGTTTTTAAGAATGTAACTGTGTAGCTCCTCAGCCAACAAGCACTGGCAGGAAAATTCTGTAGACTATGCCATAGAACCCTTCAGGTGATAATGCATTCAGTTCTAGACACCTAATGTTTTTTTTTATCT